TCCATGAAGTCGTATACATTTCTTTCTAGCGCTATAACTAGACTTCGTTAGTACAACGGTTGTGGTATAATATATCTGAGAATTGATATGTTTTAGGACGTTTATAATAATAATTACTAAATTTACTCAAACAATTAAATTAAAATACAGAAACACAGAGAAAAGAATTTGGGGGATTAGCGTGTCCTAGGAATTAACAAATGAATTTACTAACTGCCATGTCCAGACGCCATTCCTGGCAGAATTAAGTTCCCTCGACATAAGCAGTTGGCAAGGCTTCAGCCATTTCAAATTGTATATTGATCATAACTCTTTCCGAACGTTGTAACTCCCGTAATAAAATGAGTTTTGTGCTTAGTGGCAAGAAAAATAAGTGTTTTTCTGGAAAAATTGTTTTTTTTTGCCAGATGCTGAGCTGATTTTTGCTTATCAGATCATGGATTTCAAGGTACTCTCACAAGTTTACGTGGAAGCGGCCCGAGTATGCGACTCCCTGGATGTGCGAGTAATCATCGATGAAGCCGATCCGAGGAAGCATTACGATACAGTTATCAGTGAAGATGAGGCAGTGCTGGGCGATGTACGAAAGACTGAAAAGCGCTATACTGCGGTTGTGCTCGGCGGAACATTCGATCGTCTACACAACGGCCACAAAGTGCTCCTTTCACGAGCCGTTATGGCAGCTTCAGAACGCGTCGTCTGTGGTGTCACGTTTGGCGACATGCTGCAAAGTAAGTGCTGTGTTTAGGGAAAATGTGTAAGTAGTTTGCCTCAATGATGACTCTTTTTTGAGGGGCGGTGCCTTGAGTGAGAGGATGAGTAAATTCATATCTTTTTAGGTGCTGCGTTGATTTATTTTGAATATGTTTTTCTTTATCGGTACCGTAGTCCCGGCATGCTCCAAATGGTACCAGTCTGTAGCTCTCGAGAAGAGGATCCTTTAAAAAATTAGAACCTGCCATACGATGCTGTAAGATTATGGTAAAACTTGTCCTTTGTTCCCTGATTTAACAAGTTAAAAAAAAACACCTGTTTAGAGGCTTCGCCGAATGACCCACACTTCTTGCAACCTACCTTTTTGCTAACCCCCACAATCGTGTTGTATAAAAAGAAAAAAACCATCAGTTGGGTAAAAAAAGTCATCCCACATTTTGTCGCAGCTGAGTGGCAAGGGTGCCTTCCCAGGTTTCTCTCAAAAATATGTCAATCAACAGCGTTAGTCACCATGTAAAAACTTTTTCGGTATCTTTTGCATTTAAGTAACTTGCAGCTTTTTTTGCAGAAAAAATCTTATGGGAGCTGATAGAGCCATTGGAAAGCCGGCTAAAAGCTGTACAAGAATTTGTGGAAGATGTCAGCTGTAGCGTGCGATGTGAAGTGCATCCGATTTCGGACGCGTTCGGACCATCCATTGTTGATCCTCATTTGCAAGCAATCATTGTGAGCAAAGAAACAGTAAAAGGAGGTATTGCAGTGAACGAGAAAAGAAAGGCATGTTTCAGTAGTCTTTGGATTTGCAACTGCTTCTGTTTAATACACATAGACGAATCCGGATGACTTCATAGGAGGAGGGGCGACGAGGGGTGTGGGAGAGAGTTTTCTTCAGTTTTAGCTTTAAACCCGAACTTTTCTAGCACTGGTACCTGTGCTGCGAAAAGAAGGACGAAAAACCAATCGCCCTTCCTTCTCCCCTTCCT